GCGAGCTGGTGTTTGGTGCCGCAAAACACTGCATATAGACAATAGAATCTTGGAGTTGGTACAATTTGGCGGGGTTCATTGATGATGCGGGGTGCCTCTCACATTACTGTAACAACTGTACCTTGGCCCGCCATGTGTCCTTGATAGTATGTAATCCCATATAGTATGTTTGGGAGATTATAGGTCGTATTGGAATAAGTATACCATCAGGGAGAGAACGCAATACCCCTGACGTCTTATTCAATGTCTGATACAGTCAATGAGCAGGAGGATCAGATGTGTTATTGCAGCTGGCCGAGGTTACACTAAATATTGACCTTGTGCTCAGTTATTGACATGTGATTTCTTGAGGATTGTATGCCAGAATCATGAACATCACTTGTTAATGTCATACAACCATAGTTATAAGCACCGCAAACTGAGTCATTTTCGCAATGTTAACTTCTATGAATAAACTATAGTTTTCCGTTCAATTTGCGTTTTACCATTTAATTATTATTCCATGTGATCAGGTTATCCAGATGGGAAATTAAATTGAGATTTAGTTAAATTCCTTTGCTGTGGTTAATGGTAACATATTGGACAAATATGCAGTGTTGCGATACCTTTTCCATGTGTATATATATTTAAGATATTTTGAACGAGTTTGTGAAAAGACAATTATAATTATATTTCCATCTTTGTGGTAAAAGTAAAAAATTCTTGACTCATCATCTTTGCTCCGACAAATGACTATTGATGGCTAGTCCAAGTAGAAATGATATCACATCGTAAGACATGACATTTCTCCCTAGGTACGTGAATGGTTTAGATATTATGCATTGATATATTAAGTCAGTATCTATTTTATGTGCCAGCTATGCATACTTTTATATATTTTCAAACCTGTCAACTGATTGTGTTTTATTTGTGTCGCAAATGCCACAAGTGTTTCAATTCCTCCAAAATAAATTAGACGTGAAACTATTTTCAGTGATAGGGATTTTAAAATATTTCACACAAGACATGACATTAATTATATTAAATAATTCATGTCGTTTCATAAAGTAGGAACAGTCATAGTCTTCGTAACAAAGTCATAGACACACTAGTAAGTGTACATGACCATATCATATTGTATTTATACATAATGGGGATGACAGTAATATAGTATCAGCTACGAACAGTAGGCAGGGCAATGTTCATCTTATTTATTATTCGTGTGATGGTGTCCATTTCTTATAGATGATGGATGTGAGTATCCCTCTAACGTTAGTGACCATGAATGCATGAATCGCAGGAGTACCACAATGGCAAGCTTGATGCCATATAAGCGATTCTGACGCTATTGATTTCCGTCTTGCACTGGATTTTATTACCTTAACCGTTAAATGAGACGCTAGAGGATATGGTGCATGCAGTGACCAAAAACACGATGCAAGAGATTTTCAATACCTAACATTATGAAAATTAACGAATAATTGACAATGAACACTTACGACGTGCTGGCGATATATGATGTTGGCGTGTTCGGTTCTACCAATAGCTCTACTCGTGAATGAGAGTCGTGAAGTTACTCATTTTGACTGCCGCTGCCGATAGGTGCAAGACTGCTGAAGCGACCTGGCACAATATCTACTTACACTCAAAATATAAAAACCTGCAAATACTCAGATGGATTGAACATCTCATCAAAAGAGTTAAAATGTTTGCAAATAATGCAAGAATGAACTTCATGTTTTCTTATACGTGTATGCCAGTTTAATAATCAAATTCGATTTAGGTTAATTATTTGAAGAAATATATGTACTTTGATAACCAACAATAAAAATACGAAGGAGATAGTTTGTAAATCAGAAACGTTTGCGGTCTTTGTTTAACTATTTATTCCGGTGAGCTACAGTACCAGGACACCAGTTTTAATGTAAAGTGACTCAATACTAGTGGGGATAGGATCTGATGCTTTGCGACTGGCATGGCGCCGCTGTCTTTTTGACCTGTAAAAAGTAATTGATGTGGTTCCCTGGTGTTTTACCGAGTCTGGGAACCCGTCTGATCACATCACATGCATTTGGTTTAGTTTTGATGATAAAATATTAATGCAAAGTTTATTGCTTTCGAAAAGGATAAAAAAACACCAATATCAGATAGAAACTAACGTTCTTTACATGATTGACCTTTCGATTTGTTGAATGGCCTTGCACATCTTTTACGTGGGTATTTATGAAACATTAATGATTGAGTTAGAATTGATCTTCAGCAACCCATGCTTGTGGTAAGTGGCGACTAACTGACCGGATGATCAGATTTGCTGACATGGTTGACACAAGTCTTCACATCCCAGTTGCGTAGATCGATGCTCATGTTGTTGATCACTGGCATGTCTGGTCCAGACTCGATAATGTACAGACCGACACCATATAGATGCCATTTGAATATTGCAGAGCGCGGGGTCAAACAACAAACAAACAAACAAACAAACAAACATCGACATACAAGTGCAGCGTTCTTGAACGTGACGTTACACCCGAGGCTGTGTAAGATGGAACAGTGGCGGTGCGCTGGTCTCTTGTACGCATGGGAATACCGTCGGATCTGTGAATTTGACAGTTCCTGGCTTACGAATGTATCTGACCCACTCGGAAAGACATTCAGCTTGTCTCGAATACTTTAAGAAAGGTCGACAATGTTTTCTATATTTCTACAACGCCCAAAGACTAACACAAAACCATGTCCCATAATCAGGAGGCATCTGAAGAGAATATTTTAAGTCATCTTCATTCGTTTTTTTATTTTCAAAACATTACGCTCTGTTTATATATAGCTGTGTAAGGATACTAGTTTTTACTACATTACACTCACCGAGACATCTTTTGCAGGAACGTTGCAATGTGACATTAATGAACGTATGGCTGTTCCTCACTCTGGCGTGATATTGAAGGTATATAGCACAAGGCAACATCTATATGTGGCATTAACTCTGACTCTTATTATCTCACAAGCTGCCATATGTTAACATGTATAAAATCATATGTTTAACAGCCGCTCATGAGAGTGCGTGTCTATTCGTGTTTTTTGTGACTACCAATTCTTTGATCTCTAAGCACCACACCGCGGAAACAAAATGGTTAGTACCAGTACTACTAACAGTCAGAGTGAGTCAGTTTAGTTTGACGCCGCTTATAGCAATATTATAGCATAATCACGGTGGGGGGACACCACAAAGGGGCTATAAACTCTGTACTCATGTGGGGAATCGCAGGGTTTCGGCGTGACGAGCGAACGCTTTAACCACTAGGCTACCCCCCCCACCCCACCCCTATATTATTGCGTCAGAACACAGTAGTACAGTACATGATATTAGATCTTACTGTTCAGTGATACCCAATAATAATACAAAATGTATTTATCTTTACTGGTTTGAAAAGTCCCAATAATCAAACCCTTATGTAAATAGGGGGACGCTTTCCATGTCGATTAAGGTATCAGGTAGTCATTTGTAACCCTAATCCAAACGTGTTGCATTTTGAAAGATACACATAAGGGCAGTAGTACTATTAGCAGTTTGGGTAAATACAAACTGTCTTCAAATTCTGAGTTTGGACGCCTTCAATCTGTTCTTTACTTCAAAATCTATTTCTGCAATGTAAGTTAATATAGGTAGTACTATAGCATCAAACAATCTTGACGAGTTAGTCATTTCATAGGTCATTCGTATTTTTTCTCTGCTTAATGAGTTGAAATAACGCTTGCCCATACAGCTTAAGGTTATTTTGAATCTGACAACATTCATCGACGTTTCCTTATTTCATAATATCTTAAGTATCCTCCATCCTAAGCAACAATTATCTGAGACTTACGACGGGTGTCCCCAAAGTAGTCGGCCTCACCTAGAAAATTATACAAACGCAGCTGTTTTTTATTTTATTTTCTACATACTATCTCTCAACATCAAGCAAATTGCTTTTGCCATGTTCCAGCCTCACGATCCTCTTTTTAATTGACTCTTGGTACCCCCAAAAAACCCCGCAAAATCTGCAATAAATGCATCATAAACGTCAGGAAACACAATATACAAGAAACATTTTGTGTGTTTGAGATAGGCAGAAGTCCTCTATAATCAAACATAGATATTAAAGTGCACAAAAATGCAATTTCAAACTACAATTTCTTGTTAAGATGACTCCTCCCATGATGTTTACTGAAAGAGCTTGTTTTGGAGACACTACCCAACCCCTTTCAGATGACGTAACCATGAGGACATAATTTATTCTAATATTTTCACTATTCATGCCTGATGCCAAGGGTTCAAACTGAATACTTAATGGTCACACAAGTGTCAGCACTCAATATATTGTAAACAGTGCCAGCTTGAATATCTGGACACAGTGTTTTTGAAAGATTAAAATGGGGGTGTCCTTTAAAAACAGCCCCGTCTAAATATAAATCAAGCAATCCAAATCTTTGAATGTTGGATTAATACTGAACATATTTTATGTGATATTATCTGAGGGCATACACTTATCCATGAGGATCACTTTCTGCAGTATTAAAGATATATTATACCCCAATGTGTTGTGATGACTGATATCTCGTTAACCACATTACCCACATATGTGAAATTTTGGACGTGGCTTGCTGATGATTTTTCGTAATAAAATGGAAACTTTTCTAACACTGGACATCGAGAATATAGTTAGGCCGACTACTTTTGGGACGACCTGTTTAAACAGAAGCGTCAAAACCTTTGCCATTCCTACATGAAATTCCAGTCTGTCGTCCTCAGTCACCAGCATAACAATTATTAAGACACTCACTTTTACCTTGTCCTCTGAACCATCAGTAGGGTAGACGTGTTTGTTGGCATGTGATTTGTCTCCTTCTGTCACCAGCATAACGATTATTAAGACACTCACTCTTACCTCGTCCTCTGAACCACCAGCAGTATGGACGTGTTTGTTGGCATGTGATTTGTCTCCCTCTGTCACCAGCATAACGATTATTAATATAATCACTCGTACCTTGTTTTCTGAACCATCAGTAGTATGGACGTGTTTGCTGGTATGGTTGTGGAAGACACCTGTTACATGGTGATGCACAATAGCTTTATATACCGTACTACACAACTGTGTAGGCTGTCATAACTCGATACATATTAAAACTGTACATCGTTCTGATAATAGACGTTCGACGCTCAACTCAATCTGAAAAACAAAAGGGTTTCTCATGATAGGACACTGCTTAACTACATCCGTCCGATCCAATGATTTTATCACAACTTTAACAGTAATGTTATTCTCAATCTTCCCTAAATATGAATGTTCATACATAGCCACACAAAGAAGAGTCAGTTCGTTTATGCCTTTGATGTTTGACGCATTATGTCGATGATCTAATCATTATTTGCATAAAACTTTGTGTTAGGAACAGTCTTCCACATGTACTCAAGCGCAAGCATTTGACTAATGAAATGGTTGCACCTGCTTAACGTTAATATCCATTCATACAATACACGTCAGGCAATACAATGACGTTTGCATATACCTATTACACTGAAATATGATGAAACAGCCATTGTTTATCGTAAGCCAATTGCAAACTATTCACGACGAATATGGACATTTGGTATTGTTGTAATAATAGACAGATTCCAGAGACGATAACTCTCACATTGAATATTTACACGGTTACAGAACCTGTCACGTGATGGTTGGGGGCGTAGTGGGCGAGCTGGCTAAAGCGCCAGGCTAGTGATCCAGCGAAGTTGAGGTGTCGGGATCGAGCCCACCTGTGACCGGGTGTAAAAACCTTGGAGTCAACTTTGTGTGCAGAATCTTTCCGTCTTGTCACAACCCCTAGTGTACAGTACACAACCCTGTGCACTTAAAAGAGCCCACGAATCCGTTGGTATATGACCAGAAGGTGGCACATGAATACGTCCAAACACCGAGTTGCGGGTACAGCAACGTGCAGTGAAGTTGGACAAAGTACTGTGACTATGTGTCCCAGTCCACCAAGCTGTGAATGGGTACCTCGTTAGGATGAGAACGCCACAATAACTCGGTGTGCCTAGTGGCTGCAAGAGTTGTATACTCCCCAGGGGGGTTGAGATTGATAATACGACGTGCCTTTGAGATTGACATCCAGTGATCGAAGGAAAAACAAAGCGCCTTTGAGCACAAATGTTAGTATGTATGATGTATGTATGTGTCAGCTGTCATGATGGATACGTTTGACAGATCACGTACCACAAATTGTTCTTCATACCCATCTAAAAATGAATAAAACGTGAGATATCCAATGTTGCATGTAAACGGTCTAGGACATCCATAACAAGTACAAATACTATTACCCATCAGGTCTGCCAGATGTTGAACCCTCCATCTTCAAATATTAATCCACATAACGTTCTTTTAGATTTTGGTTTGAAGCAGTGTTAACTTCACCACGACAACAGACCTGTGCATGTGTCTGATAATACCTTTCGTCACATTTGGTTGGATTGTTGTTTAACGCCACACTCAGCAATATTCCAGCTATAAGGCGGCGGTCTGCAGATAATCGAATCTGGACCAGACATTCCAGTGATCAACATCATAGGCATCGTTCTACACAATTGAGTGAGTGAGTTTAGTGTTACGCCGCACTCAGCAATATTCCAGCTGTAAGGCTGCGGTCTGTAAATAATCGAGTCTGGACCAGACAATCCAGTGATCAACAGCATGAGCATCGATCTGCGCAGTTGGGAACCGATGACATGTCAGCGAGCCTACCACCAGATCCAGTTAGTCGCCTCTTTCGACAAGCATGGGTTCTTGAAGACCAATTCTAACCCGGATCTTCCCGGTATCGTCACATTTCATAACATAACAACCAATATGATATGCTACTGAACGTTTTCTCAGGACCTTTACCGTAACACGTAAAAAGACTTGAGATTGTGTACTCTATAAAAGGAACAAGCAATTCCAAGAAACACAAAACAAAGACCAAGTATACCAGCGGAATAGGGGATCTTGTTCCTTATTTCAACCACAATAGTTTGCCAAATGAATTAGAGTTACCGGATGGTTCTGTTGTGCCGGATCTAAAAGTATGTTACAGCACTTGCAGTGTGGGGCGTTATCTATCTCAAACACGGTCGTCCTGTTCGCGTACACCGTTGTAAATGCCTTTAACAACGATAATTTGTGTTCTCCTACGAGATGTAATGCCATACCAAAACATTAACTCAAACTGACGATAACGGAACACCTTCTGTTGTAGAGACTTGTACAAGAAACCTGGACTCACCTGGGAACAACATCCTCTCCCTACCTTGTTCTCTGAACTTCAAGCTACGTGTAGGCATGTCTGGAAGAATTGCTGTGTATTTCCTTGGACGTCGGCTTGGTTCTCCCTAAACCAGTTACGTACGGTTCTGTCAGTTGTGTTCACCTGCTGCAAGCCATGCCTCCAAAGAGATTAGATTGTGTTTTGATACAAACTAAAACGTTTGGATCCTTCGTTGGGATGTTCTCTTTGCCTGCAGGTATTGTTTGGGGATTAAAAGGTTAACGCAAATGTACATTACATTATATATAATTGTTTACATAGAAGTAAAGTGTGGTCATTGAGTGAACAGACTATAATTGTACAAGCACTGGACTGTTAATCCTAATCCGCTTATAGCCAATTAAAGTACAGGCAAAAGGAGAATACACCCTTCGTTGTTCGCCGATTCTGTTAGCTGATGTTGCTTTGTGTATTGTTTAAATCGCATAATAAGTAATATTCAAATGATCCTGTCCAGTCACTTGCCATGTATATATTTGTTTACCGATGTATTTATATGTTCTCATGTACCACCGTTGGTTGGCTGAGAAATAACCTTGTCGGTCTGTCTGTCTGTTAGTAGCTGACGTTGCTTGTCAGCAAGCCGAGGCGTTAGCGTTGTACGGTTACACAAGGTTGTATTTTAACACCAGTACAAATATGATGCCCGATCACTTTTCTTGGGTGTATGTTGATGTAGTGATTTCCTTCCTGATTGAAGAGAAGCATGTTCCAAACAGAAACACATATTGGGTATTATTATGTGTAAAACATCCTCATCGGTCATGGGAACGCTCACAGTCTATTGATCGTGTTCATCAAACTGAAATTGCCATGGGAGTGAGTGAGTGAGTGAGTTTAGTTTTACGCCGCACTGAGCAATATTCCAGCTATATGGTGGCGGTCTGTAAATAATCGAGTCTGGACCAGACAATCCATTGATCAACAGCATGAGTATCGATCTGCGCAATTGGGAACCGAAGACAAATTGCCATTGGAGTTAAACGTGGCAACACTGCGTCAGGATGCAGGCGTACATTGTACAACTGGCTGATCAAGTGTGCCACAAACGATTACTGAAGAACGCCAATCCCAGTGCCTTTTTCCTACCAAAGACTCCACGGTACCCAAGTTATTGTAATATGGCTGTGCTTACAAGAATCAATTGTGACGTGCGGCCGAGGACTACATGTACTATACTTTTTTCGGTCTTAATAAAATACAAAGTACCGTTGGTTCTGACACGAGGACAAGTATGGTTTCATGACATGCAATTATATCTTGGAAAGATATGGTGATAAACGAGGCAGGGTATATGCAAATGTTTAGTTGAGTCTGTCTATGTCCAGGAAATCTGGATGTGGAAGTGAAGGCTTCCTGCGAAGAGCCAGTGAAAAACAACTCATTCCCAACTCAGCTTTCCTCACTGCACGAGTTCGAGATTTCCAGAGGGAATTTCTATATCTTTAGCCTAAAAATCTGAAAGTTGTTCCAGTAAATGCACCAGAAAGTATTTTCTTCAGTATTTGGATTGCTATCTACGACTATCATGAATATTACCCGTAAGTTTCAATGGGGGCCCTGTTATTCTGATTAACGTTTAATGTATTATTCAATATCACAAAAAGTGATTTTGACATGTTCGTGGCTTTCATAAATCAGGCTACTTTTTATGAGTTTATGAAGAAGGTTTGGCTGATTGACTGAGTTCAGCATGTACGAAAATAGAGCGAGACATTGCTGCATGACGATGTCATCCCCAGACACACGTTTCATCAGCACTGACGAAATTGCTCGTTGTCAATCTTTACATCTAACCAGCATAAGAAACTCGACAGAATGACTACATCGATATTTGCACACATTATCATTCGAAAAACTGTCCCAGCCCGTGATTCTTGCCTTGGCTTGCTTTAGAATAACGATCGGAACTTAGCTATACCTCACATTCAGTCACTACTGCCATGTTGAATATTGTCAGTTTTTGGCTATCGAACATTAAAGAATCCTCTGGGGTTGACGTTTCATATCTTCCTCTGAGTGACACGCTATGACGTTTGTTATGTTTTGTTGTTTAATGCTTCATTGGTACATATGTGTAGGAATTATATCATCGTGTCTCGACAGACAGTGACTGACGCTATAGGATGCAATGACATGAAGTAAGCAGGTCGGATAAAACCGACCCTTTTGTTGCTTCTTAGGGTTGCTGAATGGGTTACTGAAGATCAATTCTAACCCGGATCTTCACGGGTTGATTGGGTGGTCAGGCTCGTTGACGATCATATTGATTGTTGCGTAATTTCATGTCACAGGCACACTGATAGTTAACATATGTTAATGTCTCATGTAAATAAGTGATCTGAACACAGAACCATTGAGTCTCATAACGTATAACGTATCTCGCCGTCGGAATACGATGACAGGGAATGAAAATGCCACAGAACTATTCAACCGCCTCTTTGTGAAGATACAAGTTAGTATATGACCTGCCCTACAGCAACACATGCTCTAATGAGGACTGAATAGACCACAGACAGTTAACAATAGGGGTAACTAACGTGAACAGATTGTGATCCTCGTTGTCTTGGTTGACACATGTCATTGTATCCCAATCGTGTTAATTAACGCTCATGAAGCCAAATAGTTGACTGTCTGGTCCAGGCTTGATTATATCTGACCGCCGTTATGTAGCTGGAATATTGCTGACTGCGGTTAAAGAAGAACCATCCAACAGCCATCCGACTCCGTTAGTTGCATCGGCTACTGAAGATCATTACCAAC